AAGCATTTGATATGGTTTCGTGCACCGTTTAACTGGAAAAATAATACTAAAATTAATAATAAAATAATATAAAACCAGCGAGATGCGTGACTACGAGGCGAGCGCGAAAGCTCCTCACCGGGTTGAAGCTGCATGATGATGCACTTCTGTCACCAGACTGCATAATCTGGCTCTAACACAATGTGGTAGCATGTTGCCATGAGCGGCGCTCCATACTCAGGGGAAACGCCAACGCCCTGCATACAGTCCGCTGGCCCCGCCCTGCTTTAACAGACTCGCAGCAGTTTATTTCTCAGAGACTTTTTCGTCAGACTGCTCTCTTCTCTCCACTTGCTTAAACTAAAGCTCCACTCAAACACACTGGGGAACTGCTTCTTTCCTGAAATATCTCATCTAAGGACAACTTTTGCTCATCCAAACTCGCTCTTTTACCAGAGGGACGCTACTTTAAGGCCTCCACGTTACTTTTTCTCCCAGGATGGCTGCTGATACAACCGAGAATTCCTCTGCGGGCGTCGTGGAGAAGCTGAAAAGTTACGTGCGGACCCAGAAAGGCACCATCCTCGCTGCAGAAATTGTGAGTTTACAGTGGAAACAAAGTGACTCTTAAGCTCATAAAGCTGGCTGTGGCACGTTTTTACAAATCACGTGTGGCTGCTGCAAACAATTAATATTTAATGGATTATTAGGAGTTAATGTTGGTACTGATTTTCAGGCTGAAGGAGAAGCAGATCTGAGTGATCGATGTGAGTGAGGGCAGAAGGGATGAGAAATGCATGTGGTTTGTGGGGGAGTTGAAGGTTGAGGGACGGAAGTAAAGGGTTTCCACCTGTCACAAGCACATTTGACACTAAAGAGCTAAATACTGAGGAAAATTCAAGGCAATACACAAATACTTTATTAATCCCAAAGGGAAATTAAATGTTGTTGTAGCTCATTAATTTAGATTCTTCAAAGGGTCAAAAAATAGCATAATGTTGGAACGGTACACTGTGAAAACACAAGATCTGATAAAGTAGTTTTGGTTTAGTTTCTACTGCAAATATCTTAGCAGAATGGTAAGATATAGGAGCTCGATTTGAGTCAACAATTCCTTAATATTGATTGGTTCAACTCAGATTATTTCTGTTCTGCACAGTTTGCATGTTCTCCCTGTGCATGCATGGGTTTTCTCTGGGTACTCCGGTTTCCTCCCACAGTCCAAAAACATGACTATCAGGTTAATTGGCCTCTCCAAATTGCCCCTGGGTGTGAGTGTGTGTGTGCATGGTTGTTTGTCTCTGTGTTGCCCTGCGACAGGTGACCTGGCGACCTGTCCAGGGTGAACCCTGCCTCTCGCCCGGAACGATAGCTGGAGATAGGCACCAGCACCTCCCGACCCCACTGAGGGACAAGGGTGTAAAGAAAATGGATGGATGGACTTTTTGTCAAAAATCATCAATACACATCAAATATGTTGGTCAATTTTCCATTTATTAATCTTCAAAAGTGACTCTAAACTGGAGGTTTGATTTAAAGGAACGTAGTTTTTCCATTAATAGTCCATGATTAAAGAATTATTTACTGAAAATAAGCTCCTAGATCTGTTTGGTCTTATTTCAAGTTTACTAAGATATTTGCACTTGAAACTAGACAAAATACTTTGTTAAATTTTTGTTTTTGCAGTTTATGTGTAAGAGAAAGTCGACCCTGAGCACACAGTCGTCCTGGTGGTGGCACAATCATGCTGCGGGATCAGATTATACTGGTCTTATGGGATAAAACGATGATGTAATTGTTTTTATTGATTAAAACTAAATCATAATTGTTCCAACAGTAGTAGTTGTCTATTACTTCATTCAAGAAAACAGGTTCAGCAGTATTTTTCTTGCACTTATTGTGCAGAATATATATTTTTTTCTGTTCTGCTCTTTGTGGAGAAACAGATAAGCTTATTTGCTGGACATCTTGTTGCTAGCCAGCTGTAGTTTTAAAACAGCTTCACGTTAATGAGAGGGACATGTTTATACAGAAATGGTGTGAAAGGGTGACCAAATTTAGGAAAGGAAAAAAGTTGATATTCCTCCTTTGATTCAGCTGACTGGCAGTGCGAAGAAGCAACTCTTTAAACTAATGCTATACTGGGATAAACAAGATAAAAAATTCCTGCTGTAACTTTATAAAACCTTAATATACTTGATGCCATCCCATGTGTCTCTTCTTTTCTTTAAATATGAACAGTATAAATAGGCAATGGACATCAGGTACCTTTAAACTAATTATATCAGCACATCTTGCTTTGGTTAGCTAGCAGATTCGTAACCACAACAGTGAGAATGGAACAACTCAAGCAACACCTGAAAAGAAATCTGCGGTCATGGTAAAAAGCAGCCACTTCATGTCAGGGAACCTTGTCTCATTTCTGTTCTTAACCACCGTTTTTTTTGTTGTTTTGTTTTGTTTTTCATGGATGAATGCGTTTGTTTGCATTTCATAGTGGTGTGAGTCTCTTTGACCTCCATTATTTGCGTAGGTTTTGTATTTACTGTTGTTGAGATTACCGTAACTTCTTTATATATTTAAACGCACTTGCTGGTTCGGTGGAGTCTTATCTGCAATTTGCAATTCTGTCGTAACTGCAAACGTCTTCAGAGTCTCACTCTTTCGATGCTGTTGAGTTCATGGGAGTTAGGAATCACAGCCGCTCCTGGGTGATTAAAAACTATGAATATTGGAGACTCCCTCTTGACAAAGTGCTTATAAAAACAGCCTGTTTTATAGTTCAAACACCAAATATACTGTAACATGCATTAATTCACTCAGTGAAAACCATCTGAAGAAGAAGCTATGTCACTTTTTGATTAGCTGCTTTATTAAAGCCAGTCAATAGTGTATCAGCCACAGTCATTCAAGGGTATTTCCACTTTTCAAGCTGTATTTTCTCTAGAATATTAAAAAAAAAAAAAAAAAAAAATCCACAAACGATTCTAAATCACGTTCCATAGAGCAATTTGTGTCCAGGTAAGTCCGTGACTTCTAAATCGCGAATTGGAGGAGGTCTTCACTGTTTAGTTTTTACAGTTTCCGATAAGTTTTGATGTGCTCAGAGAATGATATTGACGTATTAACAAAACATAAACCTGATCAGAAGCGATAGTTCTTCTATTTTCCTTGTTCTTTAGGTAAACAGTGACATTTTATTCAATTGTTGACACAGTTTTGTGTAGTTAGTCCTAAGAGCTGTGGCTAAGTTGAAGGAGAAACGTGTGTAAATATGAAAAGTAATGATGCAGTTAAGCTATGGCCAGATGTTGAAGCCTAATCAGCAACGTCATGTTATATGAGATATATTTTCTATTGCTTATTTTAAGAGTGAGAGACTTCTAAAAATCAATGCTTCTAAAAAAAATACACCCGGTTGTTTTTTTTGTTTTTTTTTATCAATAAGTTTATGTGTTTTAATGTCTGGTAAATGAGCCTTTCCAAAAACCTTCTGAACGTAACGTCACAAATCAGCAGATTCTGCCCCTCACCTAGCAACCGCAGTGAAGCCCAGCCCATTACCTAGCAACCGCAGTGAAGCCCAGCCTGTTACCTAGCAACCTAAACTGAGTTCCAGCGTGTTTTTCAGCTGGTTTTACCACTTTGTGCGCTGTGTGATAGCTGCTGGAAAAGAAATGTTTTGTTGTTGACTTACCATCCAGAAACAATTTGCTATGTTCTTGTTGACTAAAATCTAATTTTCTCAGAATAATTTTGGGCTTTGTATCGTTGTTAGACCTGTCCTAACCAGTTCAAAGTAGTATAATGGGTCACCTTTGATGTTGTGTTCACAAACAATCATTGAAAAAGACTAATATCCGCTAATTCATTTACAAAATGTTAAGATTTCCTTGTATTGTTTTTTTTTAATCTGAGACACAATTTGAAATTAAAATGGCTCCAAATTAAGTTTAGATTAAATTAACATGTGTGATGGACAAACTGTCCGGTGTGAATTAGGAGGATATTCAGCAGCTGTAAACTCTGCTTATGCCTTAGGCCATTGTAATATTGGTTTACTAGAAAATCATTTTGGTAAACTGAAGTTATTTCCAGTAGAAAATAACTTCTACTGTTGTTAGCTAGCACCTACAGCTAAGTAAATGTAAAACTGCGTTTTTTGAAAGCAAGAAAAACCCTCAGTCTGTGCCTCCCTGGAAAAAGGGTCTGCTGTCCCAAACGGAACAAGCTAATTTTAAAGACGGCCTCTCTGAACTCCACCCACTGTAAAAGTTTCCCCTTCGTTTCTTTTTTTTTTCATGAGGTAGTAATGGAAACTCCAGACTGGTGTGACGATTAGGCCTTGGAACAAGGAATCCATGAAGCGATTAACCCGGATCTCTGCCGCCGCTCCATTCAAGGATGACTTCAGGCAGAGAAATCCTCCCTCTATCAGGCAGGATTTCTGAAATAGTTTAGAAAACATTCACAGCTCCCAGAACTCCCCAGGACAAAAACAGGATGGAGAATATTTTATTGCTAACTATGGGGACTTTCAGTTTGGTCGGAAATGGGCCTCTTAGTATCAGTTGCTGGGAATACTGGTGTAAAACTGGCGAATGTGAAGATCTAATCATCGTTTATTTCACGTGGAATGACTTCTCCGCCTGTTAGTCATGATGATTGTGTTGGAACATGTTTAAATTGCAAATTAATGTGCAAGTCATACACACCAACTGAAGGGAGTGCACATTTTCTTCATCATGACTATCTCTGCAGAGATGAGCTGGAATGACCGATCTGAACCGTAACGTTAAAAACATCAGCATGTCCATTTCTAAAGCTTGTCTTTTCCAGGTCTGTTTAGACTTGTAGCTCACAACAGTTGTATTTATTTCCAAAAGATAAATTGAAGCCTGAAAAAAACTCAGATATTGTGTTTTGAAACGCCAAACTTTGGCATCAGTAACTAAAACAATGTCCATCCAAGAGAAAAGTGGTGACAGAAAAGTGCCCAGTTCAAATTTGAGGTTATAAAATGAGGGATTGTATGGCAATCTGAGCAGTTTGGAGACTCAACAAACCAGCACCCTACAGAGAGATTTCAAAGAAATTCTCTATGGTGAACCTGATCAACATGTAATTATTCACAAAACTTGAAATATAAATTCTAAAATATTTGTCGGCATAGATGTAATTTGTGCTCCCATTCTGACCAGCATTGTTACTTTGATGGGTATGTGTCTGTATTTATATTTTTCCAAACGGCTGTCACCAAAGTAGTTCATGTTTTATGATACTAATGAAACTGAGGCAATGCATGGAAGGAAAGCTAAAATACTCTCCTTTAAGACTGCGACTAATTATTTTAGTAATCAATTATTCTGTTGGTTATTCTGATGATTAATTGGAAAAAGAAATTTAGAGAAAAACATTTATGTATTTATTTATTTTCTGTCATTTTTAACTGTTCAATACATAAGTGAACATGATAAAAAATATGCAATGCTGAAAAAAAACACTTAAAAAAATTAAATTGCTTAAATTGGCACTTTCTGCACATTTTAACTACTTCAGTGTTTCTTATACAAAATATAAAGAATACAAATATATATAATAATGAACATTTCATTGCCTAAAATGCAATAAAGTTGGTGTATGTTTGACCATCTGAAACAAAGGATAATACAAATACAGTGTAGGGTTACTCTATTAATTAATTTCTTGATTAATCTTAATCTAGGAATATGTCACTTTCGGGATTCCTGGAAGAACATATTTGCATGTAAAGATTTTTTTACATTTTAAAAGGCAAATCTATATGTTTTTGTAAAATTTAGGCTTAACTACTGCTGAGTATGTTGTCCTTTCAGCAAATGTCCTAATTTTGAGTCTGTGTACTCCAGTTAACGATTAATCAATTACTAAATTAGTTGACGATTATTTGAATAATCGATTAACCACAATTAATCTGATTAATCATTTCAGTCACACTCTCATTTCTTAAGCTCAAATATATTTAAAAAATAATTACTGCTCCATCTAACTATCTGTAAATCAAAAAATCTTTCTTGCTAAATGTCATAGCGGCTGCAGTCCCTTCAACGGTCTGGCTGTGGACTTCCTGTTCAGCTACCAGTCCTTTCCTTGGCATAAACTCTTGTTTTATTCCCCCAACTTTGGGATTTTGCTTACAGTCGAGTTAAAAATCCTGGAGCAAAAAGTGTTTCCAGCAGAGAGACTGTTGCAGAAATTTCCCTCCACCCAATCTGTGGTGGTTTCCATGGAGCACGTTCATATTTCCTGCATATATATTCTTCTAAAATATTTGCTGCTACACCATCAATTCAACACATTACCATTTAAAAACTTGATAATTAAGAAAACAAGGTAGAGAGTAAAAGTCTTTGAGAGATTTGTGGCTCAACAATGACTTTTCCTGTTTGAAAATCAATAGCAAGACCAATTTACATTCATTTATCTTTTATACTTTCAAGATTTTAAGCTTTCTGCCTCTAAAATATGACAACACATGCAATTTAAGGTGCCTGTTTAGTTTTATTCCTATGAATTTGCTCAAAGAGTGATGATATAAAACTTCCCTCATGATTTTACTCTCACAATTTCCACTTTCCTTTGTGCTTGGGAGAAAAAAAGTGCTTCAAAATAAAGGCGACTTCCATAGCAACTGTTGCTGTTTGGTTGGTATCTGCACCATGCATGGGCTGAGCTCTTGGGGCTCGTGTTGCGGCTCACTATAATTAGCCAAAAGTTTGCAATAATTTCCCTGTAGTCAGTTTAAAACAAGCAACTCATTATTACACTGATGCCAGTGTACTCCGGCTGAGATCCTGAAACGCTGCGGACAGACCACAGCCTGTGCAGCTCAACATGAAGGTGTCAACAACTCAGAGGCTGGTTTTGTTCTCGGGGAGTCCTCTGTGTGGTATGGTGGGTGTTTTTCTGTATGACGGCCTCTTCAGCCGGCTCTGTCCCGGATAGAGCTCCTTTTGTGCGTTATGGTTTGGCCTCGGCCTCTTCGCTGCCCTACAGAGGCAGCCTGTGCCAGTCCCTGAAACGCATGAACTTCTGATGCCTCTGAGCTGCTGGCTGCCTGTGGGCGGCATGTAAGGTAGTAGTGACAGATGTGAGCCTGGTGTCTGCTCAGTTCGGTCATGCCTGTATCATGTAGACTGCAGTGATTTGACACTGTTGGCCAAGCTGTCTGTGCCTTAGAATAAAACCGTGCAATGTGTAAGACAAGCTTGTAGTCATAGCTGGAGGGCTGAAGACATTTTATTGCTGTAGTCTGCAATTTTACCTCCAGATGGCATTAAACTCTACTTACTGATCCTTCAATAACACAAGTTTACATTTGGCATGCTTTATACTTTTGGGTCTGCTTCTAAAAACAGTCCAAGCACTTAAAAAACACCAAAAAAATCCACCCGTCTTTTGGCAATACTTAGTCCACAGCATTACCAAAATACTGAGGACTAAGTATTTGGCATACTTCGTCTAAATACTTAGTCTTTTGACTAAGTATTTAGTCAAAAGACTAAAAAAGTTCTGTAACTTTGTCAGTTACAGAACTTTGTAACTGGCAAAGGTGTGAACTTTGTCAGTTACAAAGTTCACACCTCCGTGAACTTTGTAACTGACAGTTGCTATGACAACAATAAACAGCGCACAAGCTACAGCTCTTGCTTCGTTCTTAACTAATGAACAAAATAAGTATTACAACTATTACTCGATTACAATTTTTGAGTAATCTACACACCTCTGTGTAATACTAAATTAGATATAACTTCTACAGGGATGTTTACTGTAGTACTTACTGCTGAAGTAGCAAAATTAGCTTAGCTAATTCTTATCCGCTAGCTAAGACGGACATGTAGCCTATGTGTACTTGCTCTACCAGAACCAGAACCTTGTTATTAAAGAGCTCGTACGTCCTTTACAAATCCGTTTAAACATTGATTGTATGCGTCCATAGATTTCAGGTGAAGCTCCTCCATGATGTAAACTCTCTTCATGTTCCCCAAGTAGTGAACTGTATCACAAAATGAGATCGGAGGCAGTTTGTCCTCATTTTCGTCCTCCGTCTCATATGAATTGATCCCAGCAGCGGCCATTTTGTTCATGGATCTTTCTCTCGCACATTGGTCAAGAGTGTCCTCATGTTTTCTTTTCGTTGGTCTCAAAGCCATGGGTCCGTTATACGTTCTCCTATTAAGGTGGCGCATATCACTTCCGGTTCAGACTTTTTGGAATTATGTATAAGCGCAAAAACAACCAAGTATTTTAGGTACATTTTCTTAGTACAGTAGAACTAAAACAAAACTTGTAGATAACCTGTCAAAAAGATATATAAGCTGGTTTTAAGCTAATAATTTCTTAATTTCTCAATACTGGTGGAAAAAGTACTAGTACAACTGGCAGATTATCTCCAAGTGAAGTTTAATCTGCCAGTGGGACGAGTACTTTTCATCAACATTAAGGAAATTAAGGAATTATTGATTTAAAATAAGCTCACATCTTGTTGAAAAGTTACTTGTAAGTTAGCTTTCTTTTATTTGAAATGTACTAACATTTTCTGTAGAACCTGAAGCAAAAACACCTGATAAGATATTGTGGGGGGGGGTTTTTCGGTGCGGTCAGATATACCCATATGTTTCTTTCTTTTTAAATGTTGATACATGTATTTGTACAAAATGTTTCATCTCGCAGCGATTACAGGTCGTCTTTCAGTTTTTATGCAGCAGATTCTTGAAGGAATTTGTTTGGATGTGTGATTGCGTTTGCCCTCACATTTTGAGCCACATTTTAGAAAACAGGCCCATTATGACCTGCAGGCTGTTTGAGTTTATGATTTGTGTGCACTGGCAGCATTTTGCTGATCTGAAAAGAATGCATGCAGATGTTTTTTTTTTTTCCACATAACGGAAAATTGCTGAGGGAACGACCCCTTACTGTAAATCTGTCTGCTTGTTGCAGACCCTCGCAGAAGGTTAAACTTTAAGCCACTGTCTCACTGAGGAACTTTTTTTTTTTTTGCTTGCTTTCTTGTTTTCCCAGGTTCTCAGTCTGATAATCCTCATCTGCTATGCTTCGTCCTGGTATGGCGGCTACACTGCTGTTGCCATCTGCGAGATGTGCTTTGCTATCGTGTTCTTCTGCGTCTTCATGATGAATCTGGACCAGCAGTGTACAGACATCAGCTGGGACTGGAGTGTAAGTTTTTTGTGAGCAAAAGCGTTTTAAAGAAATTCTGCGGCGCGTTGCTCAATGCATTATGTTCTGATTTATTTCTCTTTTTTTTTTTTTTCCTGCAGGACTTTATCCGTGCATTTACTGGCACTCTAGTTTACCTCATCACGTCGCTCATCTGCGTCATCAGAGGAGCCGGGGACGGCGCGCTCATCGCAGGCGGGGTCAGTTCGTTCGTCTGCTCTGAAGCTCCTCATTCTGGGTTTCACTGTTTGTTTCTGACGACCATTTACCATGCGACCTGTTTCTAGGGAGATATGCAGAAAAAAATATGTTCTGTTTACCATGACACAGTGCAGTTATTTCTCACAAGAATCTGATAACATCCCACATTTCCTTCCTGTTCAGCTTCAAAGATAACTGTAGTTATTTTCAAAAGGCTTCACTTTGAAGGCTTTTATCAGAGTGTGATAAACTGAATGTTGGCACCAGGGTCATAATGGTGTTGAGGTTTTCATTATAGTTTTGTTGTAGCAGTTTGTTGGTCTAATTCATTTAGTTTTATTTAGTTTTTAGTGTCTGTTTGCTAGTTTCTAATAGTTAGTTTTAGTTTTTTCATATTGTGGTAAATTTTTAGGTGTAGAATTAAAAAAGGTCAAACTCATGTTTTAGAGGTTTCCCTGATTTAATGTGCCTGATTCAACTGATTGCAGTTCAGGAAACGCCTTTCAATCAGTCATCGATTGAAATCAGCTGGGCTGATGCAAGGAAATACCTAAAACATGCAGGCCAGTGTGCCTTGAGGGCCATGGTTGGGAAACACTGATGTAGTGAACGCTCAACAGAAGACGCCATTTAAAAAAATGTAACCAATTATTGTAGATTAACTCTGTTGTTTCCTCCCAATTTTTGTTGTCGTCGTTTTGCGGACTTGCATAAGTGCCGCTAGAAAGAAAATGGAGAATTGTAATTTGCCGACGTAAACTGCTTGCCTGGGGAAAAAAACGACTTAATTTCATATCAGTTTGAAAGGTTAATTAATAGATTCATTAACAAAAAGTGAAGGATGTAATGTCAGTATGTTTTAGTTTTATAAACACACAATATAGTTCCATTTAGTTACAGTTTTCGCTATTAATTACTGTTTTTATTTATTTCAGTTGATGAAAATGTTTTCTCAATTTGAGTTTTTGTTATTTTGTTAGTTTTAGTTAACTGTCATAACCTTTGTTTGCACACCTTGAAGAGTAGAGTGCAGAGACCATGACATATAGTCAAAACATTTTGGACCACATGCCAAACACGGGACTTTTTCTTCTCCCTGGAATAAAAATCCCCAAATAATTTTATTGTGAATTACTTTCTCTTTATTTTAGCTGCCATACAATAAACTAAACTACAATAAACTTGATTTTCTGAAACAAAATGGAAAAGAATAAATTAATGTAGTTCCCAAAAAGGCCTCAGATAATTTCTGTAACATAAAGGCATTGAATGGGTTGAATGTTTTTGCTGGTTCTTTGTTTAAAAACCTGCCATATTTAGACAAGTTTATTAAATGAGACACCCCTTGTATAGTGGGAAAAGTGGGAAAAAGCACAGAAGTAGAAAAAAGTCTGAATTCAAAACCTTGTATCGACTTGTTCCTTCTCACTGCGTATCCCAGGCAAAAAAAATATTCACAACAGATACTTTAAATCTAACGGGCAAGATTTTACAGGAGCAACAGGGAATAAAATGTTTAAAATGTTTTTTGAGCGTTGCATCAGTACTGCTAATTTCCAACTAAATTCAGATATTATTATTGTTGGATTTCAAAATAAAGCACGCTTCCCTTTTCTTAACCACATCCTTCTGTGCTGTGGATCCCTGGCCAGGTTGCAACACAAGTTTACAACCATCTGCATCCGATCAGGTTGCGACAGAACAACTAAGTTACAGCTTAGCATGTGTACAACGCGAGAATAAAAATAAATTAATGCAAGTGTGGAAAGCATCTTTTCTTTTTTGCTTCATTTGGGCATGAAATGGAAAAAAGAACCGTCATTGCTGGAATCTTTCTTCTGAAAATGTAATAAAATTTTAAAAAACAATGTTTTATGTTAATTAAGCCATAATGTCACAGGAAATAAGTCTGTATGGAACCGAATGATTTATCATAAAATGAAAACCGAAACAATTTAGCTGTTTTGCTCGTGTTGGGCCATTTGAACACGTGGTGGCTCTTTCTATGAACCCAAAGGGAAATTCGTTCTTTGAAAATGTCTGTTGGTGTTTATTTTGCAGTCTGACATGAACAGAGAAGTAACCGAAGAAAGGGATGTAAATAATTAAAATAAAAACTCAGTTTGCCATTAATCTTAATCGACACATAATCAAACTAAAATGACTGAGCAGACTGAACCAAAGCTCAAAGGAAACAAGGTTGATGTCTTTACAAGAATATTTAAAGCAAATACAGATAAATAAATCAACTGGAATCCAAAACATCCTGAAATCCTGACGATGGCTTTTGTTTTAATGTTGATAAAGTTCTTGTTTTGCTGTATTTCTCAGGTGTTTGGCTTGCTCGCGGGTCTCCTGTTTGCATATGACACGTACACCATCTACCTGCAAATCAAGAGCGTCAGGTCGCAAACTGGAGGTTCTGGTAGGAACACAAGTGTTTATTCATCCAAAATCTCCCCTGTGACACAAACACTACAAAAACAAACTCTTACCAAGCATTTTTGTCCAGAAATCACACCAAACTAACTTAAAAGTAACTTTTCAGAACGAAATGGGAGCTTGTTTTAAGTCAGTAATCCTTAAATATTGATACAAAGTTCCAGTTCCATTGTCATATTTTATGGTTTATAGCAAGACATTTTTCCAATGAGTGAAAAAAACTTCTACCAATGGAACCGATATCTTTTCCCAAATTTTAAGGAATCATTTACTTAAAACAAGCTTCTATATCTTGCTGAAAAGTTACTTGTAAGTTAGTTTTGTCTTATTTCAAGTTTAATACTACATTTGGACTAGAAGCTTGTCCAAACGTATTTGGTAATATTTTGTGTTTTTGCAGTGAGCCTCTTGCAGTATATATATATTTTTCCTGTTGGTATATAAAGCATGCTCACTTTCCTGATGCACTTTTCTACATTAATTTCCAGGTAGCCCAGCTTAAACAGTCCACGCATCTGTTATCGACGCTGCAGGAACACAAAAACAGAGAAGAGCGGCTCAGTGAGGGGAGATGGACAGTAAAATGACCAGGTCACAGTTTTAATCATTGCAGCTGTATGGTGTGAACAAATGAGAAGTATTTTAGAGCCGTGCTTGAGAGGAATACCACAGAACCAAAGGGAGAGGCACTATACTGTACATCTGTGTCTGCATGTGTGCTGCGGCGGGAATAAAACCCAAGTTTTGTTCCGACCAAGACAGACCATCGACTAAACAGCAAAACCTGATATTAATAAGGTAACAAAAGACTGTTTGGTGTCTTCAAATTGCTTTTCTAATACTTTTCTCTACTGTTAATGGACTGCTGTAGGAAATATTAATCGTGTTATTTGGACTTCAGAAGTAACTGACACATTAGGAGTTATTTAAAAACCGAATAATATTCGTCTTGTCATTGCTGTCAATATTTTTTTTTTTCGTAAAAGTGTTTTCAGTCAGTTAAATATTATAAAGCACAGTCTCTGTTTTTTATGAGGGGTTTTGTTAAGAGGTCATGAGCAATAAATATGTCACCAACATCAATTGACTCTCCTGGTATTTTCACTTTGATAAAACTTTGAGCTAAGCTAACGACTCATCAGGTTGGCTCCTTGCAAAAACTTTTTTCTTTTATTTTCTATAAATAACTTTCGTCTCAACAAACACAACAAAAACCTCTTTATTTCATGTGGAAATAAAGAGGTCAATTTAAACGACTTTCCAAGATGAGTTAAAAAGAGAGAAACGTTTGAAACTTCATGACAGCTTTTGACTGCATTCCAACCGCCTTTTACAGCTTTGGTAAAATATTTGGTAAAAATTTTACCAAATATTTTGGTCTAGTTTCTAGTAAAACATCCCAGTACACTTGAAATAAGACAAAACTAACTTAGAATAGATTTTCAGCAAGAAATGGTAGCTTGTTTAGTAATTAATTAATACAGATGAAAAAGCACTACTTCCTTTGGCAGATCATTTCACTTGCATCGGAAAAATGTCTTAAGTGAAATAATCTGAAAATCAACTAGTTCTTCTTCATCAATATTAAACCATTGACTTAAAACAAGCTCGTATTTCTTTCTAAATAAATTAATTAGAAACTAGACCAAACACTCCTGGTAAGATTTTGTGTTTTTGCTGCGAAGATGCTCATATTTTATGGGTTTCCGTGAAGCTAATGTGGACGGTTAGAGAAACAGTCACGTAAATGCACCATGCTAAGCGCTACTAGCTAACTCTTTGGTGTGGAAGTTGTTACTACGACTAAAACAAACAATCAACGAGCTACTTCCAATATCGCTGTGGTGTTAATAAATTAGAGATGTAAGAACATATTTAAAAGAAAATGGCCCTTTTAAATGTCATTTATTCGGACATTAGGAGAGTGAGAAGGCGCATAGCTATTAGCGGCTAACAGAACAACAGTGGTGCTGGATTCAGTTGGTCGGAAAAATCCGTCTTAGGTTTGACACTGATACTGTTTAGTTTATAATCTCCTGCTTTTGTAAAGCATTTTGTTTCAATTATTTTGCCACAACCTTTTTTGGTACTGAAGTAAAGAAAATTATCCTTGAAATAAGGGACTATTTAGAGCAGTAAACCACGGAGACTTTTTTCATCCACTTTTGGTAGAAAGAAAGAGACAAAAAACCATCATGCAAATGGAAATTATCAAACTCTTGCTATTAATTGATTTATTGCTTACAGGTTTAATTGGCTATCAGCAACATATGATTTGTAGAGGTATTATTATTTGGCATGAGCACTAGCAGAAGAACAGCATTTTAGGACTTCATGTCTCAGAAAACATCAGACACCAAAAAAGCATCGATTCCCAGACAATTAACCATAAAAAGACCAAACGGATTCAAAGGTTGGTATGCTACTGATTAAAACTTGCGATATTGTCACTCCAGAGGGCGCCGTTGCCTCAATACATACAGCTTAACCTTCCAGTTAACCTTCCAGGACTGGTAACGCTGGGAATTTTCCAACATTTTTATTTGTATGAAGCAAACGGAAGCAATAAAAACCAAGTTTGAACCCTAATTTTTACAGCAACCTCCATATCTGATGCTACATTACTCAGAACATAATTTAAAACGTTATTCCTACAATTATTCATCTTCCAATCTCTGTTTTATCAAAGTGAGTAATCTGGAAGTTATCTACTGCAAGGAGGACATTGACAGCTCATAACCTTTTAACTAAATCTTTGAAAAAAAAACAAACAACAAAAACAAATCTATTTTCAATTTCATTTCATGTAGTTGTACTTCCATCATTTTTCACTTTTTTGATTTCTGAGTCCTAAACAATTAATGGGTTCTGTGGTTATTTGTCAATACTGTTCTTTTGGTTTGGTTTTGAGAACATATTTCTGTTTTTTATATATTTGATATTGACTCATCCTCAGATGATCGACACCACACAGATTATGTCATCCTCTCTCATGTTCACTCATCGTTTTATTCTTCCTCAGGTTATGATTTTTTTCATACATCTGTAACACATTTTGTAAAGATTGAAAGCCATCTTTCTGTTGAGATTTTTTTTGTAGTGTCCCTGTTTTCCTAAAAAGAGACAGAAGGTTATAAATGTGTTGTTGGAGGACAGTGTGTTGGAGGAAAATCTTGTCATTCTAATGTTTTTTTTCTAACAATGTGCAGTCTGTCTCTTTAAATTCAGATTATTGTTTGCTTTGAGAAATAAACTGTCATTACAACAAAGAGTATTAGCATTTATATCTTTTGTCCCGAGTTTCTTCCATTTGATTGTTGTGTGTGGGTTTTAGGTTGTTGTTCTTCTTATTGCCGCTAGATGGAGCCAGTCAGTAACTGATTATCAAATGTGTGACATTTAAAGACGCAAAATCACCAGAGTTACAGGTAACTGGCTACATTTATTCAGTTACACTTGAGTAACTTTTTTTAAATGTACTTTTAGGAGTATTTTTGCTACGCTGTGCTTTTTACTTTTTTTTTTAGTAATTTTATTATGAAGTATTTCTACTCTTATTTGAGTAACATGTCTGGATTTTCTACACACTCAGTGAAAAACAAACAGAATTTGTCAGACACCGTTTTGGTTAAAAGTTTTATGCATTTTTGTGCATAAAACTTTTTTTGGAAAACAAAGTATTTTGCCTGATTTTGTTACTTTTTTGCTACTTATATGAATATTTGTCATATTTGTCCTTAAAATACCAAAACTTCCACTTAACCTTATATGTTGCTCTGTCTGATGATGTGATTTTAAATATTAAATGATTGACCATTTGATCAGTTGCTCAGTAACTGAGTAGACTTTNGGAATTATTGATTTAAAATAAGCTCACATCTTGTTGAAAAGTTACTTGTAAGTTAGCTTTCTTTTATTTGAAATGTACTAACATTTTCTGTAGAACCTGAAGCAAAAACACCTGATAAGATATTGTGGGGGGGGGTTTTTCGGTGCGGTCAGATATACCCATATGTTTCTTTCTTTTTAAATGTTGATACATGTATTTGTACAAAATGTTTCATCTCGCAGCGATTACAGGTCGTCTTTCAGTTTTTATGCAGCAGATTCTTGAAGGAATTTGTTTGGATGTGTGATTGCGTTTGCCCTCACATTTTGAGCCACATTTTAGAAAACAGGCCCATTATGACCTGCAGGCTGTTTGAGTTTATGATTTGTGTGCACTGGCAGCATTTTGCTGATCTGAGAAGAATGCATGCAGATGTTTTTTTTTTTTCCACATAACGGAAAATTGCTGAGGGAACGACCCCTTACTGTAAATCTGTCTGCTTGTTGCAGACCCTCGCAGAAGGTTAAACTTTAAGCCACTGTCTCACTGAGGAACTTTTTTTTTTTTTGCTTGCTTTCTTGTTTTCCCAGGTTCTCAGTCTGATAATCCTCATCTGCTATGCTTCGTCCTGGTATGGCGGCTACACTGCTGTTGCCATCTGCGAGATGTGCTTTGCTATCGTGTTCTTCTGCGTCTTCATGATGAATCTGGACCAGCAGTTTACAGCCATCAGCTGGGTCTGGAGTGTAAGTTTTTTGTGAGCAAAAGCGTTTTAAAGAAATTCTGCGGCGCGTTGCTCAATGCATTATGTTCTGATTTATTTCTCTTTTTTTTTTTTTTCCTGCAGGACTTTATCCGTGCATTTACTGGCACTCTAGTTTACCTCATCACGTCGCTCATCTGCGTCATCAGAGGAGCCGGGGACGGCGCGCTCATCGCAGGCGGGGTCAGTTCGTTCGTCTGCTCTGAAGCTCCTCATTCTGGGTTTCACTGTTTGTTTCTGACGACCATTTACCATGCGACCTGTTTCTAGGGAGATATGCAGAAAAAAATATGTTCTGTTTACCATGACACAGTGCAGTTATTTCTCACAAGAATCTGATAACATCCCACATTTCCTTCCTGTTCAGCTTCAAAGATAACTGTAGTTATTTTCAAAAGGCTTCACTTTGAAGGCTTTTATCAGAGTGTGATAAACTGAATGTTGGCACCAGGGTCATAATGGTGTTGAGGTTTTCATTATAGTTTTGTTGTAGCAGTTTGTTGGTCTAATTCATTTAGTTTTATTTAGTTTTTAGTGTCTGTTTGCTAGTTTCTAATAGTTAGTTTTAGTTTTTTCATATTGTGGTAAATTTTTAGGTGTAGAATTAAAAAAGGTCAAACTCATGTTTTAGAGGTTTCCCTGATTTAATGTGCCTGATTCAACTGATTGCAGTTCAGGAAACGCCTTTCAATCAGTCATCGATTGAAATCAGCTGGGCTGATGCAAGGAAATACCTAAAACATGCAGGCCAGTGTGCCTTGAGGGCCATGGTTGGGAAACACTGATGTAGTGAACGCTCAACAGAAGACGCCATTTAAAAAAATGTAACCAATTATTGTAGATTAACTCTGTTGTTTCCTCCCAATTTTTGTTGTCGTCGTTTTGCGGACTTGCATAAGTGCCGCTAGAAAGAAAATGGAGAATTGTAATTTGCCGACGTAAACTGCTTGCCTGGGGAAAAAAACGACTTAATTTCATATCAGTTTGAAAGGTTAATTAATAGATTCATTAACAAAAAGTGAAGGATGTAATGTCAGTATGTTTTAGTTTTATAAACACACAATATAGTTCCATTTAGTTACAGTTTTCGCTATTAATTACTGTTTTTATTTATTTCAGTTGATGAAAATGTTTTCTCAATTTGAGTTTTTGTTATTTTGTTAGTTTTAGTTAACTGTCATAACCTTTGTTTGCACACCTTGAAGAGTAGAGTGCAGAGACCATGACATATAGTCAAAACATTTTGGACCACATGCCAAACACGGGACTTTTTCTTCTCCCTGGAATAAAAATCCCCAAATAATTTTATTGTGAATTACTTTCTCTTTATTTTAGCTGCCATACAATAAACTAAACTACAATAAACTTGATTTTCTGAAACAAAATGGAAAAGAATAAATTAATGTAGTTCCCAAAAAGGCCTCAGATAATTTCTGTAACATAAAGGCATTGAATGGGTTGAATGTTTTTGCTGGTTCTTTGTTTAAAAACCTGCCATATTTAGACAAGTTTATTAAATGAGACACCCCTTGTATAGTGGGAAAAGTGGGAAAAAGCACAGAAGTAGAAAAAAGTCTGAATTCAAAACCTTGTATCGACTTGTTCCTTCTCACTGCGTATCCCAGGCAAAAAAAATATTCACAACAGATACTTTAAATCTAACGGGCAAGATTTTACAGGAGCAACAGGGAATAAAATGTTTAAAATGTTTTTTGAGCGTTGCATCAGTACTGCTAATTTCCAACTAAATTCAGATATTATTATTGTTGGATTTCAAAATAAAGCACGCTTCCCTTTTCTTAACCACATCCTTCTGTGCTGTGGATCCCTGGCCAGGTTGCAACACAAGTTTACAACCATCTGCATCCGATCAGGTTGCGACAGAACAACTAAGTTACAGCTTAGCATGTGTACAACGCGAGAATAAAAATAAATTAATGCAAGTGTGGAAAGCATCTTTTCTTTTTTGCTTCATTTGGGCATGAAATGGAAAAAAGAACCGTCATTGCTGGAATCTTTCTTCTGAAAATGTAATAAAATTTTAAAAAACAATGTTTTATGTTAATTAAGCCATAATGTCACAGGAAATAAGTCTGTATGGAACCGAATGATTTATCATAAAATGAAAACCGAAACAATTTAGCTGTTTTGCTCGTGTTGGGCCATTTGAACACGTGGTGGCTCTTTCTATGAACCCAAAGGGAAATTCGTTCTTTGAAAATGTCTGTTGGTGTTTATTTTGCAGTCTGACATGAACAGAGAAGTAACCGAAGAAAGGGATGTAAATAATTAAAATAAAAACTCAGTTTGCCATTAATCTTAATCGACACATAATCAAACTAAAATGACTGAGCAGACTGAACCAAAGCTCAAAGGAAACAAGGTTGATGTCTTTACAAGAATATTTAAAGCAAATACAGATAAATAAATCAACTGGAATCCAAAACATCCTGAAATCCTGACGATGGCTTTTGTTTTAATGTTGATAAAGTTCTTGTTTTGCTGTATTTCTCAGGTGTTTGGCTTGCTCGCGGGTCTCCTGTTTGCATATGACACGTACACCATCTACCTGCAAATCAAGAGCGTCAGGTCGCAAACTGGAGGTTCTGGTAGGAACACAAGTGTTTATTCATCCAAAATCTCCCCTGTGACACAAACACTACAAAAACAAACTCTTACCAAGCATTTTTGTCCAGAAATCACACCAAACTAACTTAAAAGTAACTTTTCAGAACGAAATGGGAGCTTGTTTTAAGTCAGTAATCCTTAAATATTGATACAAAGTTCCAGTTCCATTGTCATATTTTATGGTTTATAGCAAGACATTTTTCCAATGAGTGAAAAAAACTTCTACCAATGGAACCGATATCTTTTCCCAAATTTTAAGGAATCATTTACTTAAAACAAGCTTCTATATCTTGCTGAAAAGTTACTTGTAAGTTAGTTTTGTCTTATTTCAAGTTTAATACTACATTTGGACTAGAAGCTTGTCCAAACGTATTTGGTAATATTTTGTGTTTTTGCAGTGAGCCTCTTGCAGTATATATATATTTTTCCTGTTGGTATATAAAGCATGCTCACTTTCCTGATGCACTTTTCTACATTAATTTCCAGGTAGCCCAGCTTAAACAGTCCACGCATCTGTTATCGACGCTGCAGGAACACAAAAACAGAGAAGAGCGGCTCAGTGAGGGGAGATGGACAGTAAAATGACCAGGTCACAGTTTTAATCATTGCAGCTGTATGGTGTGAACAAATGAGAAGTATTTTAGAGCCGTGCTTGAGAGGAATACCACAGAACCAAAGGGAGAGGCACTATACTGTACATCTGTGTCTGCATGTGTGCTGCGGCGGGAATAAAACCCAAGTTTTGTTCCGACCAAGACAGACCATCGACTAAACAGCAAAACCTGATATTAATAAGGTAACAAAAGACTGTTTGGTGTCTTCAAATTGCTTTTCTAATACTTTTCTCTACTGTTAATGGACTGCTGTAGGAAATATTAATCGTGTTATTTGGACTTCAGAAGTAACTGACACATTAGGAGTTATTTAAAAACCGAATAATATTCGTCTTGTCATTGCTGTCAATATTTTTTTTTTTCGTAAAAGTGTTTTCAGTCAGTTAAATATTATAAAGCACAGTCTCTGTTTTTTATGAGGGGTTTTGTTAAGAGGTCATGAGCAATAAATATGTCACCAACATCAATTGACTCTCCTGGTATTTTCACTTTGATAAAACTTTGAGCTAAGCTAACGACTCATCAGGTTGGCTCCTTGCAAAAACTTTTTTCTTTTATTTTCTATAAATAACTTTCGTCTCAACAAACACAACAAAAACCTCTTTATTTCATGTGGAAATAAAGAGGTCAATTTAAACGACTTTCCAAGATGAGTTAAAAAGAGAGAAACGTTTGAAACTTCATGACAGCTTTTGACTGCATTCCAACCGCCTTTTACAGCTTTGGTAAAATATTTGGTAAAAATTTTACCAAATATTTTGGTCTAGTTTCTAGTAAAACATCCCAGTACACTTGAAATAAGACAAAACTAACTTAGAATAGATTTTCAGCAAGAAATGGTAGCTTGTTTAGTAATTAATTAATACAGATGAAAAAGCACTACTTCCTTTGGCAGATCATTTCACTTGCATCGGAAAAATGTCTTAAGTGAAATAATCTGAAAATCAACTAGTTCTTCTTCATCAATATTAAACCATTGACTTAAAACAAGCTCGTATTTCTTTCTAAATAAATTAATTAGAAACTAGACCAAACACTCCTGGTAAGATTTTGTGTTTTTGCTGCGAAGATGCTCATATTTTATGGGTTTCCGTGAAGCTAATGTGGACGGTTAGAGAAACAGTCACGTAAATGCACCATGCTAAGCGCTACTAGCTAACTCTTTGGTGTGGAAGTTGTTACTACGACTAAAACAAACAATCAACGAGCTACTTCCAATATCGCTGTGGTGTTAATAAATTAGAGATGTAAGAACATATTTAAAAGAAAATGGCCCTTTTAAATGTCATTTATTCGGACATTAGGAGAGTGAGAAGGCGCATAGCTATTAGCGGCTAACAGAACAACAGTGGTGCTGGATTCAGTTGGTCGGAAAAATCCGTCTTAGGTTTGACACTGATACTGTTTAGTTTATAATCTCCTGCTTTTGTAAAGCATTTTGTTTCAATTATTTTGCCACAACCTTTTTTGGTACTGAAGTAAAGAAAATTATCCTTGAAATAAGGGACTATTTAGAGCAGTAAACCACGGAGACTTTTTTCATCCACTTTTGGTAGAAAGAAAGAGACAAAAAACCATCATGCAAATGGAAATTATCAAACTCTTGCTATTAATTGATTTATTGCTTACAGGTTTAATTGGCTATCAGCAACATATGATTTGTAGAGGTATTATTATTTGGCATGAGCACTAGCAGAAGAACAGCATTTTAGGACTTCATGTCTCAGAAAACATCAGACACCAAAAAAGCATCGATTCCCAGACAATTAACCATAAAAAGACCAAACGGATTCAAAGGTTGGTATGCTACTGATTAAAACTTGCGATATTGTCACTCCAGAGGGCGCCGTTGCCTCAATACATACAGCTTAACCTTCCAGTTAACCTTCCAGGACTGGTAACGCTGGGAATTTTCCAACATTTTTATTTGTATGAAGCAAACGGAAGCAATAAAAACCAAGTTTGAACCCTAATTTTTACAGCAACCTCCATATCTGATGCTACATTACTCAGAACATAATTTAAAACGTTATTCCTACAATTATTCATCTTCCAATCTCTGTTTTATCAAAGTGAGTAATCTGGAAGTTATCTACTGCAAGGAGGACATTGACAGCTCATAACCTTTTAACTAAATCTTTGAAAAAAAAACAAACAACAAAAACAAATCTATTTTCAATTTCATTTCATGTAGTTGTACTTCCATCATTTTTCACTTTTTTGATTTCTGAGTCCTAAACAATTAATGGGTTCTGTGGTTATTTGTCAATACTGTTCTTTTGGTTTGGTTTTGAGAACATATTTCTGTTTTTTATATATTTGATATTGACTCATCCTCAGATGATCGACACCACACAGATTATGTCATCCTCTCTCATGTTCACTCATCGTTTTATTCTTCCTCAGGTTATGATTTTTTTCATACATCTGTAACACATTTTGTAAAGATTGAAAGCCATCTTTCTGTTGAGATTTTTTTTGTAGTGTCCCTGTTTTCCTAAAAAGAGACAGAAGGTTATAAATGTGTTGTTGGAGGACAGTGTGTTGGAGGAAAATCTTGTCATTCTAATGTTTTTTTTCTAACAATGTGCAGTCTGTCTCTTTAAATTCAGATTATTGTTTGCTTTGAGAAATAAACTGTCATTACAACAAAGAGTATTAGCATTTATATCTTTTGTCCCGAGTTTCTTCCATTTGATTGTTGTGTGTGGGTTTTAGGTTGTTGTTCTTCTTATTGCCGCTAGATGGAGCCAGTCAGTAACTGATTATCAAATGTGTGACATTTAAAGACGCAAAATCACCAGAGTTACAGGTAACTGGCTACATTTATTCAGTTACACTTGAGTAACTTTTTTTAAATGTACTTTTAGGAGTATTTTTGCTACGCTGTGCTTTTTACTTTTTTTTTTAGTAATTTTATTATGAAGTATTTCTACTCTTATTTGAGTAACATGTCTGGATTTTCTACACACTCAGTGAAAAACAAACAGAATTTGTCAGACACCGTTTTGGTTAAAAGTTTTATGCATTTTTGTGCATAAAACTTTTTTTGGAAAACAAAGTATTTTGCCTGATTTTGTTACTTTTTTGCTACTTATATGAATATTTGTCATATTTGTCCTTAAAATACCAAAACTTCCACTTAACCTTATATGTTGCTCTGTCTGATGATGTGATTTTAAATATTAAATGATTGACCATTTGATCAGTTGCTCAGTAACTGAGTAGACTTTCTTTTTTTCTAAATACTTTTTTACTCTTACTTGAGAAATAATAGTTATTTTTACTTGAGTAATTTCTTGGATGGCTACTTTATATTTTTGCTTAAGTAAAAATATGTTGAAGTAGCGCTACTCTTACTTGAGTCAAATTTTTGGGTACTCCCAGAATCAACTGAGTAGTTTTGTAACACCTGTTGTTGGTTTAATGGATAAAAACAAATTATCTCACATAGATTCACATAGTGAGGATCTCAGTTCATGCAGACAGTATTCACATGGGATCTCTAATCTCATCTGATTTTCATTTTTTACAGAGAGTGCATCCATTCTGCCCCCATGCTTCATTCTGAGATTACATTGTTTTATGTTTTTTTTATTATTATTATTAAAATCCCTTCCTTTTGTTTAGTACCTTTCAATTGCATTCATGTTATTTTTAAAGCCCTGCACAGGAACGATAATCCCCTTTTTGGGATCATGCCAGCATTCACCAAACTGCTTCCGAGGCTTTTTAAAAGCATGATGATGATATTCCCCAAACTGACTTTTATTTATTTATTTATTTATTTTCAGATTTCTTTTTGGAATGATTTTTTATCTTATTTCAAAATTTAATTCAAAGGATATATTTACAGTGATGGAGTCACTATAAAATCAGAGGAACTGGCGTGGAAACATCTATTCCCAGAGAACAAAATGGAGGTTATAAATTAATAGATGTAGCTACAGGACTTACTATTATTTTTATTATTCCCTAATTTGTAAACAGTTTTAAGCATACAGTAAATCAAAACCAAATAGAAAAATTAATAAAACAGCATATGCTTTTATGCAAAGTAAGCCTTTTATTTAGACATAAAAAATAAAGTAATGATTATATAATTAGATAGTATATATTTTTGTGACTATTCTTTAAAGGTGTGTTCAATTAATTTAAATTTCAATGTCAATAAACACATGATACATTTTTGTAATTCAATTCAAAAGGTGGACACATTTTATACATATTTATTACACAAAGTGGGATTTTTTTTAGTTATTTCTGCTAATTTGTATGATTATGGATTGAAGCTAATATAAAACCCAACATTTAGTATTCAGTATTACATAAGACCAATTTAAATGAGCACTTTTAATGCAGTAGTGCATTTTTAACCACAGTCTGACCTGCATGATGGTCCAGAATATGATGCATTATATCCTCTAGGAGTGTAAAGCACAAAAGACTTTAAAAATATGTAAACAGAAAGTTGAGAGGAGGAAACAAACGGTGGCATGAATGTCCTTTTTTCAGCCTTAATAAAATTTTTACATCTTATTAGGCAATCAAGTTCCCAGAGTTCATGGGAAAAGAGAAAAGGCACAAAATGAAAGTAGATTTGGTCAACTGGGGTCAACAGGAAGTCCAGGAAAATTTAAAGCACTTTATGCTTCCCTTTGCTAACAAGCGTCATGAGCGTCTCTCTACAGTTTGCACCAAGTCCAGTCACCTCAATATACCACCTAAAGTACAAACAACTGGTTAAATAACTACAATATTATTCTGTGTTTGTTTGAGTAGCACATTGGCCCAAATGCTGTTGAGAATCTGTGGAGGTGGAGGAAAGGATTCAGAATTAACAATACAATGAAGTGAAAGCTGCTATTAAAGTAACATGGACTTCATTAAAACTTAATCACAACTGCAGGCTGATTACCTCAAGTTACTGTGATGCAGAAATTCCTGTAAAAAAAAAAAAAAAAAAGACTTGGCAAACTATGGAGAGCAAATCTACCAGAGCGTGGACATGCTTTACAACAGGAAGGCATTCCTGAATGAAATTTATTGAATATACGAGGTTCATGTTAATGAAATAAATACATTTTCGATTATGTATTTTGTTGATAAGCACCT